TCAGTGGACATTCTAACTTGTAGAACAACTACAAGGAACAACTTGTACAAGTTACTTAATTGGGGTTCCTGCATGTTATCCACCAGGACAAATGTCGAACGTTAAACCTACAGGCTCAGTTGTATGCATGTGTAAAAAAACAATTTATAAAGTTTATAGAAACAAGAAATGTTCACCTGACTAAACTAAAAGACAAAATTTTATTCCATGAAGTTAAATAAAAAAAGTCAAATGTTACCAACCTTTCTTCAGCTAAAGACAGGAACGGTTTTGATCCTTCGAGAAGTTCTGTGAGAAATGCCAAGGCTCCAGCTCGTACCTAAAAAAAAATTACATCTCCTATCATAGAATGTGCACAGATACAACTACACACTCAAAACATAGAGAGGAGAAGGAGATTGGGACTTATATTACTTTAGTCCTTACTTTAATGTTATTTCCCTTAACAGTATTGATTAGAATGTTTATTCATCTAGCTTAATTATTTTTTATGCGTTTATACTTCCATCATAGATATTATTTTACATTGAGGATTTAGAGCTATCCTAAATCTCTTAAGCTGGTTGAGATATTATGGGGTTTATGGCCAGAAATGTGATTAAAATTGAGGGAAACCTCATATTAACCTTTATAAGTACAAACATTAAACCTACTCAGATATACTCATTACTGTATTAATTTTCAGTTCCTAAGTAGGTATCTTTCTCTGATTAATATCAATTATAATAGTAGTTTCAAGATGGTAAACGTTTTTCTTATAAGCTATCATGTTGAAAAAATAAAGTAAAAACTAAAATAATTTCACCCAAAACATCCCTCCCGTATTATGTAAATTATTGATAAAACTTTATATATTGCCTGCAACTTGAGAACTCCTACAAAAACATTAGGTGCGAAACATGTTAAATTTTTTATTTTTATACGTTACGATCAATGTTAACAGCAGAAGGGAGTAACCTCAGAACACAATAACCATTTGAACAGCTCCCCCCTACGAATGAGGGGCCGTACGACTGATTATTATGCTACTCATGTAAGTTACAGAAGATGAAAGAAGTATTACTGAAGATGAAGTATTTGTATATCATCAAGTTTTAAATTTATCTTCATATAAATATACCATTATTGCAGAATATTTATGTGGAAACTGTTTTTTCTCTATAAATTAAAGAACATATATTTTTAGGGTCATTAAAAATATAAAATCAAGAACAGAATAATAAGCTCATGTTCTTGTGTTGTTACATATATTCATTGACCTGATTCTTTACACTGTTAGTTAATGTTTACTCACATGCTGAGACACAGTTACACACCTGTAGGGATGGATCTTTTAAAATTGATGTAAGAACGGTCTGGTTCTGAGGTACGTAGGCTGTTGAAGGACTGTCGGGTAGAAAGGAAGACCAGAAACCAAACATCGTCCTTTTCCCTACTGCCTGAAACATCATTATTCTTCACACATTTAAACATCGAACATGCTTCACTAATAGAACTATTTATGTCATACTTTATACAAACATCTAACCCATTCTATTATGATGAGTTCATTCTCTCTCTCTCTTGCAGACCAACTTCAAATGGTCGACTTTCAACAGCTTCGCGAGATAACACCTTGGTAGTTATATATCACATTATATATATATATCCATTGTATCTCATAGCATTACAGACCTTTTTAGATGTTATAAAAACCGTTTCTCTCATATTTAAGAAGAAAGTGTAGGGCTTTTCTTTGAAGATTTTTACAAACAATTCAAGAATTTTATAACTTATATCAATGAAGTAGTAATATTTTTCTAGGCTTAGTTAATAATCAGCTCAAACCGAGCTACATCACAGCTAATTACTCAAACAGATTGTTTAAACTACCCACCTTCACTATCACTTGAGGTACAGAACCTAGTTT